TACCAATTTGCTTTACACCTTTTGGTGCCAACACTTTGGGTGGGACGTGGACGGTGGTAATCCCGGTTTCGTCGCAGTTCCATATTCGCTCTGAGGAAATCCCTCTTCTTTCCAATATTTTCTTGTAATTGTTGAAAAATCGAGTCACGCCTAACTTGTTAAAACCTGTTGATCTCCCAAGACTAGTTGCTTCCGGTTTACGTAATGACAATTCATTTTCGAATCTTTTTCTGAAACCTCTTAACCATGACTTTCCAGCAAGTTGCACTGCGTTCCACTTATCTGGATATTTTGTTTCATTTGCTTGGGCGTATTGGAATGCCAATGATCTAACTTCATACAAGGTTAGACCGTAATGCAACCGTGCTGCTTGCTTCAAGTAAGAAACAAGTTCTGCTTCTTCGTGTTTAGTAAAAATCCTATTTACATCATAGTGAACAATGTATTCAAAGTTCTCCTGATTGGATTCGCGAAATTTTTTAACATGCCTCATGAGGGTATGCCTCGACACATTGTGTACTTTAGCTGCTTCCCTGAATGACACTCTGTTCTTCAAAATATCATCTACTGCCCTTTCCATATCAGTTTTCGAGACCAAAGGCCTTTTTAAACCTTGCTTACTACGTGGCATTATCTGAAATGAAGAATGTTATAATTAGGGTTGTTAGAACAGATCAGTGCGACTTAAATCAGCTGTAGATAGGCACAAGAAATCACTTGATCTTACCAAATTGTAAAAAAAAATGTTTAAAAGTGGCCTTACCACTAAAACATTTTTTTCTATTAGGAAATACTACTTAAAAATTACAGCCTAGCTGCCTCTAGTTACCTATACGAAAAAAATTATTTTAAATTCCGATTTTTATTCCCTCTAACATCCCTTAAAAAACAATCTTAAAAATTTAAGAGTAAGATTTACCTATAGGTAGGTACCTACATTAAACTAAATAAATGTATCTTAGTTGATTTTTTCTTAACTAAAAGTAAAACTATTTTTAATATGACAATGCGGGACATAAAAAATCATGAAAAGCACAAATCGGAAAGTTTAATAATACCTACCAGTTATTATTAGTGATAATATATTACAAATGTGATGTACCTTGCCCCGGTGCAAGGTACAACGCCAAGACTTGGCTCAAGGTACAACAAACGTAGTCTCCCCAAATAAATCGAGTTAATAATTTTTAGGTTAGGATATGCCGAATTGTAATATAACGGTTAGATAGCAAAGACCACATAAAATCTCTAAATACTATCTGAAACAAATCTACGGACCAATGAATATGTGATTAAAAAAATACGTACCTCCTCTTTATTTACTTTACTAGCACTAAAACAGTTTCACAAACAAATCTCACAAACCTCGCTTTCTGTTTATTTCATATGCAACTAAAACCATCTATGTGGAAGTAAAGGTACTATAACCCCAATGAAAGATGCTGTGCGACTAAAATAGGCGCGACAATTGAAACTGGCTCAAGGTACGAACCTGTGCAAGGTACGTCACCTTCCCCTACCCATTCTGTAGACATTTCTAAAAAAAAAAATGCTGATAACCGAATATTTTCTAAGAAAAGTTGCAAGATTTTGATGTTCCTAACCTAACATTTTATAATTTTCATACAGTTTTGCAAAGAGTTTCAGTATCTAACTGGATAAAATATGTAAATATTTACAATAATGAAATTTTCTTGAATTACTTGAAAAATATGGCAAACAAAATTTTTATAAATGAATCAAAATATGATGTATTTATAAAATAATTTCAATTTTTTACAAAATAAAATATGTAGCTGCACACATTCTTTTGTAGATCAAAAATTGTAGATATACCTACCTAAGGCGAAATGCCTATAAAATTGTAACTTTAACAGAAAATTTCTTATCTGTATTTTTTTTAGAAATGTATCTACAATATGTAATACTTTTTAGAGTAACCAATGTTTTTTTCCAAATTTCAACGTAAGTACCTAAAGCGTACTGGAGCCAAAATATAGTTCTTAATTCATTCATTTTTACTAGCAATTTAAAAAATCTTAATTTGTAGAAAAAAGAAAATTTTCAATTGAATGTTGGTAAAACAATTTTCAAAAGCAGTGAAAGAATGGAATTTGTTAACAATACTAAAAATAACTACTGAACACCTTAAGATTGGAGATTTCAAAGTCAATTTTACATAAACACAAAAATTTGAAAATAATTTTTTTTAATTCTGTTTGAAACAAAATCATCATAAAAGTTGCTTCCCAAGTATATAATAATTTCAAACGTGCAAACGCAACACGTAAGGGACTCTGCAAGCGATAGGACTCGGGAGGATGGTTAAGAAAAAAATATCTGCGTACCGCTCGTCGGAGGATCCACAAAAAAATGGATTGTCGAATATAGCACAAGTAGAAGTTGGAAAGGCTTTTGCCAATTCTCCCACTTTATACACATAAATTGACAGGTTTGTGGCGGATCTAACCGAAGTGGACGCGATACATTGGCGTACAAAATTATTTTGTAGATGTTAATAACAATTTCAAGTAAATAGTTTAATAAATTGTGGATATCTGTTGAAATTTTGTAAAATTATGATTTGAATATTATAATACATGTTTAATACAATGAGTCCTAAGTACCGTGGAGGTAACCCACCTTCCACACGTTACAGATACAGAGAGATACATGTTTAATAATTATTTATAGTCCATAAATACATGCGATCGTCCGGTAACAATTTAAAATTACTAATTATATGAAATGACATTGGCAGGTAAACATTACTGCGAAATTCTCGAAGCCGTCCGTCGTGGTATGACGTTTACCCCTTCTCTACCTACCAAAAGCCTTTCCAACTTCTACTTGTGCTATACATCTGAAACTGACGAAAATATCGAAAGGTTGTGTAAACATGGCAAGTCGCACCAACAACGAGCTTATTTCGTTAGATTTATATGGACACAACACTGGCTAGTTTTTGGCGAGATTCAGGCGCGACTCGTTTTATTTTGTAACGGTTGGAACCGTTATTTCGGCACAATCACCTCTTACTCAAATGTCATTTGTCGTTTATGCCTTGTGTCAAAAGTTTTCATTTTCATTTCATTTAAATAGATCACATGTGATAACAAGTAAATAAAATAACTAGATATCACGTTACAATTTACACGCACCTTTATGTTTTATTGTTCATTTTGTTTTAATGTTTTATATTCACAGAATAAAAATAAACAATTTATTGAGTAGTTTTTTTCCTCTTTCTATTATATCGCTTTCCATTTTTGATAATTTATTTATGCTTAGTATTGTTTATTGTTATATTGCATAATTATAACTATTGGAATGAAAACATTATTTTAACTCACTTTAAAAGTATCCGTAAAAGTATCCTTTAAAGTATCCGAAAAAAGTATCCGGATACTTGTATCCGAGTACTTTTTAGGTGAAAGTATCCTAAAAAGTATCCGGATACATTGTAAGTATCCGTATCCGGTACTCGGATACTTTTTTCCTGTATCCGACCCAACTCTGATCTCTGTCGACAAGCAAGTTTATTATTGAATTTTAATTATCTTTTATCTTGGACATCCGATGTACTAATTATCTTTAATATTTTTAATGACCGTCTGATTTTAAAAAGGTAAGTTTCCTACCGATATTTTGTTGAAAATATATATTTAGTACAAGAATTTCTAATTAAAATGTCAAGTATTGAAACATAACCTCAACATGAAAAACACAAGAAATCACATGTTTTATATAATTTCATATATTATTTTGTTTGAAATAGATAATATGCTTTACTATATGTAAATATGTTAAATAAGACTTTTTCTTTTCCTATTAAATTTGGTCTCTGTGAAGCTATTCATTTAATAATTTAAATTGTGCATTTGATAGTAAAAAGCATCTTATCTGTTTCCTATATAAACTCTTCCTAATTCCTTTCTTTATATTTTTACCTTTTTCCTTGTAGCCTGGCTGTATATAGATGGTTTCAGTAGAAGTTCAATAGAAATTATATAGATGGTTCGATAGAAACTATATAGATGGTTCAATTAAAGCTGTATCTAGATGAATTTTAGAAGAACGCTGCATGTTTAGAAATTTGGAAGAACGTACAAGCTGCCTGTTTAGAATACATCAAGAAGTTTAGTTCAATCACCGAAAGAAGTTAACGAGATTTCACTTTACCTTTGAAAATTTAACAAAGAGGCCTCTATAGTCACTCCTTAAATATTACCTCTAATTCAACAGATAAGATTTAATAAATCATTTAAATTTGAATAATTAAGTCTCTGTGAATTAGAATTTGTCGCTACCTTATTTAATTATAATATCATTATGGTTAGTGATTTTCTATATTTTCATCACTAATCGCTTGTCAAGTTTAGAAAGTTTAAATACAGTGGCGTCCAACATTCTTTTTCAAAGTAATACGAGTTGTTTAATAACCTGACCCACTCCCCAAAATCATAGAGCTTAAAACACTATAAAAATAGATAAAATAATAAGATCACATTACAGAATTTTTTTTTTCGTTTTATTTTTATTTTAATTTAAAATGAAATTGAAAAAAATTTAGAAAAATACAAACAAACCTAACTTGACGAATTATACAATACGGAAAATTTTTGTAATACAATGGTTCGATTACTACACCCAAGAAGAACCAAAAAGAAACTTGTGTGAGGTTAATAATTTACCCTACAGCCGGGTCCAACAGACTATCGTTACACTCTCAAACCGAGCCCAAATACGTAACAATATGCTCTACAACCGAGCCCAACATAAAATTAAAAATAAAATAATATTAATCGTCTTTCTGACAAGACCAACTATATGAATTAGCTAATTCGATAAAATAGTACAGAAATTCAGCTATGTAAGTTAAAAATCTGTACACGAATTTCATCAAAAGCATTATAACTGAAGCCAAAAACTTCAAAATGGCCATAAACGGATAGCGACACGTACACTTCACTTTAGTGTAGTCAATGCGCACGATGACGTCATCCGGTATTGGCCGGTTTGGAGGTTGCTTGGACATAAAGTCCTGTTCTGTTATCACAGAGGGGTTTGTCGGCATATTGCCGATAATGTTGGTCATTAGCAAAAACTGCCTGGGCAGCCTGTGACAATACCGCGTAGCTACCTTTCTTTGTCTTAACGCGGATGTTATCAACAATTTCCATTTCAAACCCCGTAGCAAAGAACTCATCATTGTCATAGACGTAAACGTTCTTTTTAAGTTTATCTGCAACTCTCAAAGCTAGGTCGATTTGAATGGAAATTGATTCCCTAGTAAATCTTTTCGGAACTGTAGACTCCATAGATGATCCAATGAAACAGAATATAAAATAAAATAAATAAAATAATGTAATTTTAATCATTCTAAATCGAATGAATTCTTAAGTCTAAAATCAAATTTAAATTTACTTTCAATCTGTTTTTATTTTTGAATTATTGAATATGTACCTTGAATATTTTCTATAGTCTTTTAATTTACTACTTAAATTCCTTTTTGAAAGATTAAAAAGTTTAACAATATCAAAATAACTTACATTCAACAACTGTTTAGTGAAGAAAAACTTAATTATTTTACACTGTCTCAGATTATCTATATACTCGTCGTAATCATCACTATAGCAATCAAGCAACTCATATGACCTTTATAATACCTTCATAACACCTTCATATTTTTTAAATTGCCAGACCCACCTTTTGACTTGTTTATTTTATATAAATTCAGAAGATATAATATTTTCTATATGTTAAAAAAACTTCCTTCGTCCTTCTTCTCAAAATTGAGAAACTCATTTAGAAATTGACTAGTTTCATCTGGAGTTTGATGACTCATTGTTAACAAATATATTTTTTGACGCCAAGATAAAAAAAAACAAGATAAAAACTATATAAAAACTATAAACTATATAAAAAAGACTAGATAAAAACGGGACCAACACGAGATAAAAACAAAATACAAGATAACTAACTCTACAAACAACGAAATAAATGATAATAACTACTGGTGATAACTGTGCTGATAAAACTAACAATGAAGTCTTAATAACGGTAACAACTAAATATATTAACAAAGAACACAGATAAAGAAAACAATAATGCGTTCAGTGCACAGTCGCCATCGTCCTGCAGATTAAAGTAAAAACAAAACAGAAGAAGTACAATGCGCCACCTAGTATCACTTAATAACAACAAAAACAATCAATTGAATTTTTGAGCGTTTTGGTTATTTCGAAATAAAGAACTGTGATGAATCGTTCAGGATTTCGGTTATTGCGCACGCAGTTCTGTGCAGTTTTGTAATAGTTCCCATTCTGGAAACTCGAACAAAACTATTATAATAGAGTTGCGATTATACCTATTCATAACCTAACTAATAATTGGAACTTTTACGAACAGTTTTTATTTTATCGATCGCAGATGTTTCTAATTAGGATATCAATCTGTTCTCAGAGCATCATGCTAGTTTTATTGAAACGTAATTTTGTAAATTTGTATTTATCTTTTCAGGCAGGTAGGTGTACCTACAGTATGTCGCTAATGTATGGAATAAATTCATTATTTCTAAAATAATCGACTTTTGAAAAAAATCCAAAAACAGGTCAATTTTAATTTTTGAATCGTCATCACATGATGTAGATGTAACGAACATTACGTCACCAATATTACCGTGGTGACGTAATCGGCAATTTTTTTAAATGCAACCATGTGTCTCAAAACACCTCATTGGAAAGGTCTTCTAATCGTCTTTACAACGATGTAATTATTTGAATATTTATTTCTACAGGGTCGACCAAAACTGTTTATTTACTAAAATCTTAATCATAAATTCTGATTCACTGAACTTATTGTAAGGACCGCCACTGGAAATAAAACATCGTAGTGTACCCAAAAAATATTTCTGTATTTTGGATATGTTACTGATAATAGTACTAAATTCTAATTTAACACTAATTGATGTGTATCAGTCAAGTGTTCAATAGTTAAAATCTTTAAATTAGCATAATTTAGTAATGAAGCTTACAGAAACTGAACGAATCGAAATATTAATGATGATTGGCTATGGAGATAGAGTAAGGACACAGAGAGAAGTTGGCAATTTATTTAATGCTAAATACCCCAATCGTGAACCCATTTCTCAATCAACAATTAGTAAAATCGAGAAAAAGTTTTGAGAAACGGGCCATGTTAAAGATCTCCCCAAAAGTGGTAGAAAGTCAATTTCCGAAGACAAAAAAGTTAACGTTTTACTAGAGTTTCAAGAAAGACCCCAACCAGCACGAGACAAGTTGCGCTGAATAATAATTTACACCATTCTACTGTTGCTAGAGTACTGAAAAAGGAGAAGTGGCATGCGTATAAGGTACATTTGGTCCAAGAGCTGTTAGAAGATGACTTTGATAGGAGAATTGAATTCTGTGAAACAATTATGGAACGATCTAACAAAGATCGTAATTTCATAAAAAATATACTTTTTTCGGATGAAGCAACTTTTATGCTCAACGGCCATGTAAACCGCCAGACATATCGATACTGGGCAAGTGAAAATCCCCATTGGATGCAGGAGTATACGACACAATATCCTAAAAAGGTGAATGTTTGGGCCGGCATTATAAATAATCAAATAATAGGGCCATATTTTTTTGAAGGAAACTTGACCGGTCCTCGATATCTTCAATTTCTTCAGGATTATCTATTACCACAATTAAATCAACTATTTCCAAATAGATGTGATTTGTGGTTTCAACAGGATGGGGCACCCCCACATTACGCCTTTGATGTACGAACCTACTTAAATGCTGTTTTTCCAGATAGGTGGATAGGAAGAAGAGGAACGATCGAATGGCCACCAAGGTCGCCAGATTTGACACCCTTAGACTTTTTTTATGGGGATACTTGAAGAGCAAAGTTTATCAAAGTCGCCCAAATGATATAGAAGAGTTGAAGGATCGCATCAGAACGGAGATTGCACAAATAACGCCTGAAGTTCTCGTAAACGTTAGAGACGAATTTACTGCTCGGCTGTCTCATTGCATTATTGCTGAAGGTCATCAGTTTGAACATTTAATATAATTTAATTGTTTTTTACTAAACAGTTTTATGTATTTTAGTAAATAAACAGTTTTGGTCGACCCTGTAGAAATAAATATTCAAATAATTACATCGTTGTAAAGACGATTAGAAGACCTTTCCAATGAGGTGTTTTGAGACACATGGTTGCATTTAAAAAAATTGCCGATTACGTCACCACGGTAATACTGGTGACGTAATGTTCGTTACATCTACATCATGTGATGACGATTCAAAAATTAAAATTGACCTGTTTTTGGATGTTTTTCAAAAGTCGATTATTTTAGAAATAATGAATTTATTCCATACATTAGCGACATACTGTATATTCACTGTGAGATTTAATTTAACTAAGTAGATATTTAGATACTGCACGTACACCAATAAATATAATATTTTAATGGTATAGGTTAGAAAGATTGTAAATTCAAAAAAGAATATCTAATAATTGTTCCATGTCAGTTAATTTTATGTAAAATTAAACTTTATTGTTCTATATTAAAAATGATTTAAATGTACTGTAATGTTTAATATTGTTGTTGAGGTAATGAATAAAATACAACGCTGCTTAAACACAATATATTCCACCCAAGGTCTGTACACGAATGCCGTGTTATTGGCGTCGTATATTTGACTTCCGCGAATCGTTTACATTATAAGAATACTACATCTCTTCCTTGTTTTATAAATATTAACTTAATACAAACACAACCTAATTAAGAAGAACATAGTGATACAATAACTAGTAATACAATAACTAGTAATACAATAACTAATGATACAATAACTTAAGATCTACCTTAACTTATAACAAGTAAGGTAACAGAAATACAACTTACTCTTAATGATAACAATTATAGCAATATCTAAGAAACTTTAACTTAAGTACTAATAAAAGAAATGAAATTATATGGAGAAGTATAAAATAACAATGATGGGGTATAGGACTTATTTCAAATAATAGGTCTATTGACTAAGATACAATATGTGAATTTAAATTGTTTAGCCAAGCTCAGATGTTTCCGCAGGTTTCTTTTCTTCTGATACTTTCCATTCCCCATCAACTTTTTTAAATGTACGATGTTCCTCCTTAATTCTTGTCCTGTTTCCTCATTTCTTACTTGAACATCTCCGCCGTTTTTATTTGTGATAGTATAAGGATGGGGACAAACGTTGGACTGGTTTTGTTCTCTCTTTGCATGTCCTTTATATAGACTTTATCCCCCTCTTGAAAATTGTTCTCTTTTGCCCCTCGTTTTCTGTCACAATACTCTTTACCTTTAGCTTTTTCTAACTTATCTTTATCGCTTACTTCATTTTCTGTTCTGTTTTCGAAGTCTACCAGACTTGGAATTTTATCTTTGAATTGTCTACCGAAGAAAAGTTCACCTGGAGTTTTACCTGTTATGGAATGTGGAGTACTATTATACATTACTAAATAAGTTAAAAGATCTTTTTTCCAGTCTTGTTTTAGCGAGTTACTTATTTTTATTCGCTTTAAAATATCCCTGTTTTGTCTTTCGACTTCGCCGTTTTGTTGTGGCCAGTACGGTATGATGTGAAATAATAATAATAAATGTAGTTAGTTCATTGCTTACTAATTGTCTACCATTGTCCGCAGTTATTGATGATGGGAAACCTGTTCATGAGAAAATTTCTTGAAGTAAGTCGACAGTTTTTTTAGGTGATCTCTTTTGTAATTTTGACCTCTTTGTAACGACTGTAGTAATTTATAACAACTAGTAGATACTCTTTGGAAGGTAAAGGCCCCAGGTAATCGATTGCAATATCTATTCATGGTTTAGACGGCAAGTCTCTCCTTTTCATAGGGTTTGGTAATGTGGGTGTTGATACTAAAATACATCCTCTGCATGTTCGGACTAGTTTTTCTGCATCATTGTCGATTTTGGGCCACCATACCTTTGTTCGCAGTCTGGCTGTCATTGATGAGATTCCGGGATGTCCCTCATGTGCTGCTAGCAAAACGTCCTTACGTAATTTAATGGGGATTACAAGTTTACTTCCTCTTAATAATATACCCTCATGAAAACATAGCTCTGATTGGTAGATCTTATAGACATTTACGATTTTATCCCAATCGTTTTCAAGTAAACCTTTCGTGACCCTTTTGATTTCTTCGTCTATTTCTGAATATTTTATATCAGACAGTGAAATGGCAGCCGGACAAGAATATTCTATTATTTGATTAACTGTTTCTTTTTCAAATGGTTCCGAAGGATATAATGCGCATAATCTTGAGAGAGAATCCGCGATATTTGATTTTCCTGGACGATAGATT